CTGAACGCTAAGTCCTGTCGGCCAAATCGGAAGAGACCTGTCCCCGCCCAGCAATCATTGCTGCCATGCTGGCGGGTGAGGATGGATTGGGCGCAGTGGTCTCTTTCCTGTGAGTCTGTAATGCTCCTAAAGAGGACCGCTGAACGGGATCGGGAGAGGGCCGATCCCTGAGCGTAGAGACGTCGCCGACCATACCAGCCGCCACGGGGCCGCGGCCGCCAGAGTGTGGGGGACCTCTTGGTCGCTGATTGAATGTTGGCGGGTAGGGAATAGGATGTCGGCCTGATTTTCATTAAGACGAAATTGGGCCCGCCACTTCGCGATTGAGGGGGAAGTGGTTTTTCCCCTGTGATAGGGCCTGACTAGGCATGGTGTCAATTCGGGGAGGACCTGAAATAACATGGTCCGTGTCCTCCCAGAAGTAGGACACCTGAGGCCCCGTCGGGGTGGTTTTTAGTGGAATCACCACATACTCCTAGCTCCTACCCGGTGAGCCGGAGATCCGAAGGGATTTTCCACCCCGTCAACAAAAAAAAAAAAAAAAAAAAAAAAAATAAAAAAAAAAAAAAAAGGCGACCGAAGGGTTCTTTGAGGACTTGATACCACTCGGTCGAGCCGGCAATAGGAGACGTAGAGTAGGTAGAGTACAGAATGTGTTAGCAGGAACGCCCTTTATAGTTATATAATTATACAAATATTTATAAAAAGATTGTAAAGAGTTATCCGTCTTGTTACCTGTTAGTACAGAAAAATAATTTTTAGCAATGTTTTCTGACATGTCGTCATCTCAAACTTAAAATAAATAGAATTCTTACACATTTACATGTGTGAAATCTGTCAAAAAAATGGAATAGGCCTAAAAATCTTGTAAGTTACTGAATTATATAGTTTATATATATTTTAAAAATATAAAAAACTAAAATTTTTTTTCGTATGTTTTTTTGGTTAAAACGCGCTAATTTCGGGAAAATACGGGTTAAAATTAAAAAAATCTTTAGTGTTGGATAGCGAGTATCCGGAAGGAAGCCCAAAAATAGAGCTGACCATCAAAAAATATAAGTTTTAACAGGAATTAACTTTTTTACCCGTTTATCTACTTGGGGACTTTTTCTAGTAATATAGTTGGGAAAATTACCAGGCGAATAGTTCCCTACCTTTCCGAGAGGGTGCTTTTTAGTCATTCATCGACATATCCCCCCTTGCCCCGTTGTCCGATTAAGAAAAAAAATTGTCCCCACCCCAATTACTGGGGGGTGTCGTAAGAGCCGACTAAGGGAGCAAACTAAGCAGGACAACAGCACTGCAAAGAGAAAGGAAAACTTGAAACAAACCCTATACCAACCCGTCTGGCCAGCGTGGTATAGTAGGCCAAAACCTCCTTTCTAAGGAGAGGCCTATGTCCAGCAGTGGACTAGTATAGGCTGTTGATGATGATGATGATGATGATATCCACCCTAATCCGGGCCCTCCGATATGGGGTTTAATCCTTTTAAAAACTGACCCCTAGTTTAACGGTTTCCAATTTTGCTGCTTATTTTTTCCCTACCAAAGTTATAAGTATATTTCAAGGACCCTTTAAAAATACAACTAATGATATGCTTTGTTGTTTTTTTTAAAAAAAATTATGTCCCCCTTGTAAAGACTTTATTTTTGCATACTTCATTCAATTTAAAAATAAAAGCAAAAATATTTATTAAAATTTTGAGAGTAAAAACCGTTTGAGTTCAACAAATGACGAATAGTGTGAAATTGCTAAACATAATGAAGACCTTTTTCAAGCACGTCAATATTTCTATGATAAATAATTGTCTAAGTGTATTTTTTTTAACAAGTATCAACAATACAAAATAATTTTATTTTGAATAAGCATGAAAATGAAAAAAAATAATAAATTGGTTGCAAGCCTTTTTCCCAATTTCAATTTTTATATACTCGCCATTGAGTTTTGTTTCATGCTTCCTTGGGAAAACGTTTTCCCCAAAACATCATATTTTTTTTAAACTGGCTAGCAGTTTTAGAGATTGGTGCGAAAAAAAACAACAAATAAAAAAAAAAAGTTTTATAAAATATAACTTAGGTGAGGATCAAGCCGCATTACTGCGGATATTTTTTAAAAAATAAGTTTAAATTTGGCCCGAAAAAATACCTCTATGTGTAGTAAAATTCTGCATCACAGATAAAATCCAATAACTTAAAAATTTTTATTTATTAATTAACTTGAGAGAAAGGTACTGCTAAAGACTGCACGGATGGGTAGTGGTTTAAGGGGTTGCCACGCCGCTCACTACAGCTAGTGTTGTGGGTCCGACCCCCACAGGGGACGACATTTGTGTGATTGTTGTTCTGAGTCTGGGTGTTATTTGTGTCCGTTTCATGTATGTTTGTCAAGTCCCCCGCGACACAGGATTTATTCCTAGTGCGGGAGTTGACTTTAAAAAAAAAAAAAATGGCTATACTCTGTGTTTTCAGTTTAAGTTAATCTGTAATAATTTCGTTAAACCTCCGACTTGTATATTAAAAAATGTAATATAAATCCCCTCTAACTATTCACGTAATGTAATGATTGTTCTTAGGTATGATTGACCTTCACCTATACTGGTGCGATCTCATGTTGGGGTGACCCTGGGGGGGGCCTTTTGAAGAACCTTTATTTATAATTAATAATAATAATTTTAAATAGATTTTTTTAATAAAATATTTAATCAGCTGTTGCATTCGCCCCCGTTCGGCATCTTTTGGGGAACAATTTTTTTATCTGTATGAATCTGTACTTTAATGTATGACAAAGTTTTTATAGGGCCCCGAACCAACATGCAAACCCAATTTTCCTTCTCAAAGTTTTCATCAGCTCATTTATCTTCCATTGTCTTTTCTTCTTTCCCTTTCCCTTGCTCATCAAAACTTTTTTTGCACTCCTTCATTTTTTTACGGGCCTGTTGGTCTAGTGGTTAGTGACCCCCCACTGCTATGCCGGGGTCTGTTCGATTCTCCCCCGGGCAAATATTGTGTGGTGAGCACTACCATTTTTCAGTGTCTGGTTGTAATTAATGTATAATATGTCTGTATTTTGAAATATATATGTATGTTTATCAGCAGATTGGTTACTAATAGGGGTTTTTGGTATTTGGAAACCCCTAAATGACGCCAACTTCCCTTTGGTAAAGAAATTTTTATTTTTTTGTTATTTAGGCAGAAGCAAAAAAATGTTTACGGTTCTAAACCCCGGGGTTTTTCCTGTTGTCAAACCGAACAAATATTAGGGAAAAAATAATTTTTGGCACTTTAAGGATTCTTTGATCAGTCTTTTCGCTAACTTTTAATCACCATTTTTCATGAGTTAACAAGTTTTATAAAAAAAATATTAGAATTAACAATATAAAAAAGTTTTGTTTTACTTAACTTACTATCCGTATAAATAAAAATGTTAAGTTAGTTTGTTTACGCTTCAAAAATTTAAAAAGTTCTGCATCGATTGAATATTTTTAACACGTCACCTTAATATTTTAGTTTAAAGTTAAGAGTGTCAAAGAGTAATGGGGTGCCAACAGTAGTACAGTATATCCTATATAGGTGGCATAAAAACTATCACTCAAGTTGTGTTTGTCATCACGGAACAGTTGCATAAGCTATTTGTCAAGCGGCGTGAACTCACGTGATTCCATTGACATTAGTTTAGCAAGACACGTCTGTTTGTCTCCTCACCACGTAATCAAAAAATAAAGACGCGCTAAAAAACCTACATGTCCCAAATAAGCCAACCCGGGTTTTTTCAACCCCAAATAAATGCTGTTACAGAAATACCTAGTAATCAAAATTTAACGTTCATTGATGATAATAAACAACGAGATAATGAGACGTTAAAATCTTATGTCCCGGATATCGTAAGAGTTTCCCTGGGGGAGCAAACTACGCAGGAAACACACGAAAAAGAGAAAGGAAAACTTGAAACCTATGTCCAGCAGTGGACTATTAAAAGCTATTGATGAACTAAACATTTAGAAAGGTCGAGCTTTCCAGCAACAGCCAGTATAAATTATGGATACGCGACCCTGATTTGTTCGTGTTATTTCTCACACTCGATATTCCCAATCTTTATACTCATCAGTTCTTAACACTCTCAGTTTTCCCATCTAAATCCTAAAGTCCCAATCATCAATAGGCTTACCTTCTTATTACGTGAGTGGGACTAAGATTATATTCGACGAAATGTGGGCGTCTAGTTCGCCTCTGCTTACCTCTTCGGCGGTGCCTTTTACTAAATAAAAAAAGTATTTAGTTAAATGGCCTATAATCCTAAGAGATAGATATGTAGATATTTTAATATGATAGAAGACCGGAGACACGTGCCCATGTGTGTTGATAATTAATCGATATCACACACTACGATAAATAAGTCTCGTGTAATTATAAATATTTTGATGAATTAGTTTCCATCATTTGTTTATCTATAAATATATTTATCGTAACCTCAACAGCTGATGATAATATAAGTAGATAATATTATTTTGCCAATAAACACGAAATATTGTCTTTGGTGATAAAGGGACGTGGACTAACCCTTGCGGTCTTGTAATTAGATCATATCCAAGACGACCTCCTATTGATAAGAGTAAGCTTCACACTGATAGCAGAAGCAGTCAATTAGAACACTTAATAAAATATTTACTTTCGTTCACATTTCAGTGTTTTTGAATTGGGATTGTGTTTATCTACCACAATACTATTAATTTTGCCAACTATAGTTATTAATGTTACGCTAACTAACTACCCAGCTAACTTGTGTGGGTCGCGGTCACTCAGAACCCGCAATATTAATTTGTCAAATATTGTTTGGAACGAAACCCGTTATTAAAGAGATTTTAATGTTCAAATCATTCAATAAGTATATAGTACATGCATAGTCGAATGTTCCAGTTCCTGTTGGTTTTGACAGGTGAAGTCTTGCCCCGTAATGGACCTGGTTCCATGATAAAGACTAATATCAACTTTTATAATTCCAGTGGCATTTCTCTTCAACTGGATCGGGTTCCTTTTGTTGATGTGCTTCTGTCACACGGTGGCTAGTCGCTATGGAGCGCTTGCTGGCTTCGGATTGTCCCTCGCCAAGTGGACCCTCATCGTGAAGCATTCCACGGAGCTCGCCTCCCATGAGAACTCCTGGCTCTGGTGGCTTATTATGGCATTTGGTAAGTATTTATACATATTAGTAGGTAATCTCTCTCAAATAATATATTTTACAGGTATTTTTAACTAAGATAAAATTGTATGTTGCAAAAACCACTATTCGATGGTGTTTATTTCGTTCCCGTTTCGTTAAAACCCCTTTATTTCGTTCGTGTATAACCAACTCGGGCCGTCACCGGTGGGGCGAAACCACCCGTTGTGTCAATAGGAATGTGCTTCTAAAATAGGAAGGATCCGGGAACAAATGTTACTAATACATCTGGACCCCCCTTAGCGCCTGCATATATCTAATAACCCTAATCTAACCAAACTGGCGATGTCTGCAATTCTACAAATGACATAATTCAATGCAAATACATGAATTTACAGATAATTTATACAACGCCCTACATTATTATCAGAGAACTGCTTGCGACGACATGTTGCGGTTAGCACACTGAAACAAATTATCTTTTTTAACAAGTATGTATACTACGTCACTGGCTAGTGGCGTAGATATCTGCATACGTAAATATAATCACCCATAGAGGCTTATGCTTGTATGAGAATTTGAGGATATGCGACCCTGACCTTTTTTTTTTCCGTGCGGAAATCCCCTCGGATACCACCTATCGGTGGCATGTCGCACCCGAACCGACTAAAACCGCACGCCGTCTCGGGTACTAAAAGCCGGGGAACCAGGTATCCTAGAAAGGAAGTCTCTGGTGCACCGACATACCTCGGGCCATCTACAGACGAGTAGACGACCCCCTCCCGTGTGGCAACCCCATGTTCCCTCTGCTCCCTGGAAGCGAGCGCCTCCACCCCGGCCTGCTACTCTGTTCCATGTATCTACCCATAATATAAACTTTTCCAGCTACCTTACTTTCCTTCTTATCTACCTTTCTTTCTTCCTTCTTTTCAATATATCTAGACCCAATTAGGCCCTGTTTCCTAAAGGGTCCGAGTGACAATAGGCTTGCCCTCTATTACGCCAGTGGGACTAAAATAGTTAGCCAAATGTACGTATATTATATATCCAAAGCCCGCATCCCACGCCACGTATGGGCCAAGTCTATATCCCAATAAGTAAACAGAATCGTATTAATTCGCCCACATTTTGTAGACTATAATTTTAGTCTCACTGTCTTAATACACAGCAAGTCTATTTCCGTCAACATCGCACATGTATTTCTATTATTGAAAAATGACACCCAAATACAAAACAAATGATCGTGTTCATCACACTATATCCCTGTCCTGGCTGGGCATCGAAGCCACGACTTCAGTCAAGATCGTTAACCATTGTTCCATCAGGCCCTGTGTAGCCTATATGTGGGGCATACTAAAAGTCTCTGGATCTGGCCACCTACAATAAAAGAATGAAAAAACAATCATGGAATTCGAAAATGGAACTCTTTGGGAATATGTTACTTTTTAATTTGCATTTGTTTTTTCATTGTGACGTCCTTTCGAAAATTGTGTGAACATTTTCGTTCAAAGATTTTTATGATTTTCTTTGTGGCTTAAGTCAACAAGAGAGTTGAAAGAGACTTCAATTGGCATTTGGTGATGAGGCACCATGTCGCAGCTCTGTACTCGTGGTTTGGAGAATTTAGGCGAGGACGTGATCATCTCCATGACGAGGTACCTACGTGAAGGTGGGCCGGCGACTGCGGTTACAGACTCTAATATTGACACCGTACAACAACTTATTGAAACTCACAAAAAAATTACTTGCCAGCAAGTTCGTGCCTTGTTAGGTTGCAAAACATTTTAAATGTGCATTTGAGGGTTCGGCAGCTTTGCACTCGATAGATACCGCATGTAATACGCACGTAAAACGTGTGTGTGTACGTTTACTTTAATAATACAGTGGTTTCAGCGAATGCAAAATGCATTAATTGCGAGGAAATATACTTTGAAAAACAATAAATGTATCGTAAGTCTTATATCTAGTCGGATTTATCAGAATCCTGAAACTTTCAGTATGCCCTAAGCATAATAATAAAAATAACCCATCCAAATAATAAAATGATTTACCAAATCGTTTTATAAATAATGAGTTCATAGGTAACCAATATAAAAAATACAAACGAATTAAGAACTATATCCTTATTTGAAGTCGGTAAAAAATAATAACGTAGCTTTTCCAATCTACAGTCATTTTGTTGAAATGTATAAATAATATAGTTTTAGTGCATATTAAATGTGAACAACTGAAAACTTAATAATATTGTAAACTGTATAAACTGTCTACCATAGATGTGTACGATTTTCAACTCTATTTTAATACAACAAGGTGTATATTTTATCACCATTTAATGGAATGAATTGAACTGACGCAAATGTATAGATTATATCTCGCCTTATCAAAGTCCGAGTGTTTATTTTTACTATTTAAAACAAAACATAATTATATATTTTTTGTTTAGGAAGTTGTTTAGTAAGTTTTTATTACAACAATGATTACGTTTTGGTATTATAATACATTATCCCAACAAATGTCCTGAGATTTGTCAAACAACGCCAGTATAAATGTTATGGGTTCTAGTTCACAGATAAACATACTTAAATAATACAATTTTTACATAGCTGCGCTGGAACTAATGTAACTAGACATGTTCATAAATACAAATATTATCTGTTCGAGGGTTCGAACTCGAGCAAGTCACCACCGGATAGTCTAATCTTGCGGGTGATTGCTTAAATTCCACTAAAATATACCTTCCTACGATTGCCTTCCTTTCCTTTCTTCCTTCCTTCTTATCCACATGTCTTTTCTATATACTTCCAATTTTATCATCTAATCCCTAAAGTAACGGGTTGAAGGTAAAAGGTTTGCCCTCTATTAAGTAAGTGGGACTAATATTAAAGTTGGTAAAGTGTGGACATCGTATTATACGCCCCTCCCTACCTCTTCGGGTATAAACATGTGAGTGTATGTTTGTACAAATATTTGCACTCAGTGGGACTTTCCGTGTGGTGGCGGATTAAGAACACGGAGTGTCACCACCCTTATTCTCGTCTGGCTAGCGTGGTATAGTAGGCCAAATCTCCTTTCTAAGGAGAGGCCTATGTGTGTACTGTTAAAGGCTGATGTGAAGTGGGAATCAATCCCGTATCTTAACTCGTAAAGAGGTCAAAACGCACTGGTGTCTCTCGAGTTGCATGCTGTCACTTACCATCAGATGCACCGTCTGCTCCTTTGCCCCCCAATACCATAAAACAAAAGATCTCAAACACTACAGTTAAATGCACACAAATCCAAAACTATCATAAAAAAATTGCCAACAATGGGATATAGATCAATTGTAAATCAGCGCTGTATTTAATTCTGACACATATATTTACGTACCATTGTCATTGGCTGATGTCATGTCGCCCCTACCAAAACAACTGCATTATATATCGCCCCGAGTGACGCCAAACGTAAGCTCATTGAATAATTAAAGTGATCGCGAATACAAACGTCGCCGTCTTAGCGAGATTGTTGCTAACAAATTACTTTGTGTCTGTCTACAGATAAATTATCTAAGTAAACTCTAAGTGTTATTAATATTATTGCTAAGTTAGCAAACGGCAGAAGTAGAAGCAATCTATGTTAGTTGCTAACTTATATAATTATCGCGATAGACAAAGATCTGACTCCTTCAGTTGTAAGTGACTGGTTCCATCAATCAATTGATAAGCCAGTAGCTTAGACACACGTCATACGCCTCTCCCAACTTGCGCCATAGTACCCGGTCGTCTGCATTCCACAAGTCCGTCCCAGGTGCCTTCTTGCTGTCAGTCTATCTGGGCCTGAATTCTGCTATTTTATGTTCACGCCAACGAAATGATTTCTTATTATATATAATTAAAAATAAATAAATCATTTCCTTATAATTTGAAAATATATTACGTTTTTTTTGAGGAAATGATTTATTTATTCTTCCAAATATGGCAGTATTTTTGATATCACCACTGATGAGCCACTGCCATTCCATCGCCCACTAAAAAGACACTGAGTTAGTGTAGACTACCGATATTTATACAGATGCCAATGGCCACTCGATGGCAGTGGTATGACAGTGGCTTGGCGTGAACATAAAATAGCAGAATTGGGGCCCTGGTCGTTATTTGAATTTGCAGCTTCATTTTTTAAACATCGTTATTAATGCATCAACGGGCTAAATAAATAATATAATAAATGTAATTGTACCTAACTACGGGAAAAACCCATGTTCATATTATCATTTATGGCTATACAAAGATACATCAATGACACTGCAGTTTACAAGAAGACTATTATTTATACCTGACAAACCTCTGATAACAAATCAACAATACCTAACATACATAATGTGTGTCATTATAACACTGTTGGTACTTCTATGTAAGGTGAATGTACTGTATAAATAGGACAATAACTTAATGTCCTATGTCCCGTAGATGCCCTAGGTCCTACACAGTAAACCTGTATGTGCCGATTTTCGACTGACCGATGTTTGCTTGCGATGACCATTGAGACAATAGGGGGGCGAAAATAGTTGGTGAGTCTTTTTTCTATGACTCACTAACCATTTTCGTTTATGCTACTAAAAATAGATAGATAGATAACACTTTATTTGTATACCAGGGTTTTTACAGAGATTGTAAAGCAAAAATCTACGTCACAAATATTGTACAAAGTTCGGCCTTATCACTTACAGCAATCTCTTTCCAGGAAAATTTTAGATAGACTGGATTTATTTCAAAATAGCATATAGTTTAATGTAAGATTGAATTTGATGTGAAGATTGAATTGATGTGAACGGCCGGACCGTGAACACGGCGCTCCACATGTTGGCAGAATGCCCGGCGTAGGTGGAGTATAGGCGTGACCTCGGGGTGGCCATCGGAGTGGGAGTCCTCTTGCACGGTGATGTGATGGCCGCCATGATACAGAGCGAGAGTGCGTGAAATCGGCGGCGCGTTTCCTTCTGCGAGCAAGTTATGCTTGCGAAGGAGATGGCGGAGTGGCTACGGGAGAGGTCTAGAACTCTAGGCCCGGGAACTTGCCAGGTCGCAGAACGATGCCTCCATAAACGCAGGCCTGGGGCTGACAGGTGAGGTCATCTGTCCAGGCAAATGTGATGGCGAGACGCCCTTTCGGGAGCGCAAAGGGAACATGGGGGTTCCCACACAGGGGTCATCTACACGCCGTGGATGGCCCGAGGTACGTCGGGTTATCAGGGATTTCCTTTCTAGGGTACACCTGGTTATGCGGCTAATAGTACCCGATTAGCGGTTTTTGGTCGGTTCGAGTCCGAAATAATCACCCCATCGGTGAGTGGTATCCGAAGGGAGTTCCGCGCAGGGGAAAAAAGGGTGTAATTTATCTATAATATCTATGTAGCTGCAGTCTGGTTACACAGGTTCTGCCTAGTTGAGAACGATATTAAAAAAAAACAACTTTTTCAAAATTCTAACTTTCCATGAAACACGTTGTTATGAAAAGGGAAATTTATAATCATTTTAAAAATCTTTTAAGATTATTAAATACAGATCATTTTTGATAGTATAGCTTCAATACTTTAATTTTAGCTCGTTCGTAGATAGAATCTTTCTGCAAAACATGTTCTAAATAAAGTAGGTATATGAAAATCGGTCGGATCGGTGGATTATCTTTTAACACAAACATATGTAGTATGTAGTTTATTGATTACCTACTAGGTTATATACAACCTAGTAGGTAATCAATAAACTACATTACTAATTCAATGCCTGCCTAGTGGTGGTATTATCTATTCATCCATACTTATAAATATGAAAGTGAGCTTGTTTGGTTATTCTAAACCACTAAACCGATTTAAAAAGTTCTTTCACCAATGGAAAGCAACATTATAAGCGAGTAACATAGGCTACTTTTTACGCCATAACCTACATACACGCGGGCGGAGCCGGGAAAATGCTAGTTACGTTATATTAACTAGCTGTACCCGACATGCGTTGTAGTGCAACGTATAGTAAAAAAATGTATCCTCTAATATTCTAACGACCATACTGCCACCTCAAGGATTGGTAACCCACTTATAACCCTTAAGTTGTAGGTGTCCATACGGTACTCACCAACCATCATGCTCGTTTGGCCCCTATATGGCCGACTGTACCGGTGGCGTAGTGGTTTAATGGCCGACTGTACGGATGGCGTAGTGGTTTAAGGGGTCGCCACGCCGCTCACTACTACGCTGAGTGTTGTGGGTCTGATCCCTACATGGGACGACGCTTTGTGTGATCCACAAATTGTTGCTCTGAGTGTGGGTGTTCTTGGTGCCCGTTTCATGTATGTTTGTAAAGTTCACATAGGATATACTCCTGGTCTAGAAAAAAAAAGATTTTTATTAAAATTATTTCTAATTTAATATGATAGTATTCTGTAATCTTCTAGTACCTAATGAAACTAAATGAGATGACGGGCCTGTTGGTCTAGTGGTTAGTGACCCTGACTGCTAAACCGGAGGTCGTGGGTTCGATTCCCACCCAGGACAAATATTGTGTGATGAGCACGATCATTTGTTCTGTGTCTGGGTGTAATTTATCTATAATATGTATGTATTTAAAAATATATAAGTATCTTTATCAGCAGTTGGGATCAGACGGCCGTGTGTGAGATGTGTGAGGTATTACATATATATATATATATATATATATATATAGATTTATGTACACTTATTATTTTGTACATATTGTATTACACGGTACATACATTGTTTTAATGTATTGCAGAACAATGCAAGTTCCCGTGAATGCATCATCACAATTCATTGAGATAACACTTTACACAACAGTTCAGCGCACTGCACATTTGTAATACATTTATCGAAGAATGAAACTGTGTGCCTGTTGTGGAACAAAACGATGAATCACGCAATCATAACTAGAATATTGTCAACCAGAGTGTCCTGTGTGAGTTTATTTCACATCTACTTGTGGTGTGGTGATCCCGTTTGGCGTTGTGATTGGTTTAGAGTTCGTAGAGCTTAGTGTGAGTTTATTTTGATTGCTGAAGAGCCTAGACACCGTAGTGTGAGTGTATTTCACATCAAATCGATGGTCACAGTCACCGTGTTCGGGGTTGTGATTGACCCGCACTGAAATCAACATTAAACTTACACTAGGCTCTGGTGGAGGTAAAATATACTCACACGAAGCCCTCAGATCATGGTGCTCCTTCCCGATGCGTGAGCGTACTTCCCTAAAGTACAAAACAAACATTACCATCACGACAATTGTACGATTTAAACGAGGTTTTCTATAAGAATGGTATTTATTGTACCTAGTCTAATTAAGTTAGACAGCTAATATATCTATCATATATCTATCAGCTAATATATATATCAGCCATAAGCCACAGAAAGAGGGGAAATGGGAGGGCATAGATTTTCGTCACGTATTCAGTATATCTCAAACTTTTCCTAGCGATGTAAACTCAAATATACAACGCGACACAGGATATTATAATATTAATAATTATTATAATATTGTATTTCCGGATATCTGACACACAATGCCATGTAGTTCAAACTAAGCAGAGTTTGGACTATAAAAGCTAACTATATTTTTTTCGTAAATACATACATATTACACATAGAAAACACATATTATAAATATACCTAGTGCGGGAGTTGTCTTTAAAAACAATAGTAACCGCTGTATTAATAAAGATACCCGTATTATAATATGCCAAGCCCCCAGTCTATAGCCTGGTGGGGTATGGGTTATAAATTATAAATGCTCACATGGTATGGGTATGTTCCCTGAAATGACTTCTATTTCTCTACCAATACTATTTCGTTACTATTGTTTGTAATATAGCTATAGTTAAACCGCCGTAAGCTTGGCCCTCCTGATGGTTTGCGGGACGCGGGGCGGGTGATGCGCTCGGCTATACATGACAAGATGTACTAACTCGATATCTTCAGATTTATTTATTTGAGATTTAATCTACACGCGATGTAATAAAAATCGAATTTATTTATATGTATTATAATGTCAGTGTATTGTAAGTTTTTATGATTAATTGTAAAATTTAATACTGTAAAATAATTTTAATAAAATCACCTTATCTTCATCATGTAAATTATATTCAGATACAATTTGAAAATTAAGTAAAATAATAAATATTCTTTATTAGAACTTTAACAGTAGAACCTCTGTAAGCCGAACTTCAAGTTTTTAAATCCCTTTGTGACGCAGAGTCGGCAGATTATCCATGTTGCAAAATAATATCGTGTGTAGCAGTCTTAAGAAAAATAACACGTACAGCCATGCTTTCACGTCAGTCACTACCGGCGGACAGCGACGCACTAGCTAATTGGTTATATGCACCCCCGCCCCGCGTCCCCCAAACCATCAGGAGGGCCAAGCATACGGCGGTTTAACGTAATACTTACCGCATATGTGATAATTAATCGCCATTGTCAAATATTGTTACAACGTTCTTCTTAAGACGACTAGTAAACAAAAAATCTATATTCAAACATAATAGATACATACAACACGCAACTGATGTCACAAGTAATACAATATGTACCTATTTATAGAAGCTGGTAACCTCTTATCTAAGGCCAGTCGTGTGGTTGTTAAATAAGTGATTTGATGTTAATAATGTTCACAAACCAACACTACCTAACAAGCAAAATATGTTAAATTAGTTAAAATTAAAACACTCCTCTGACGATTACATTGTGGAATGACTTCCCTGCACATTCCATGTCTTATTTTGCACGGTATCACTTAGGTTTACTTAAGTCTTAGGGGATTTTTATGGTTTGCAAACGAACACGACAGGTATTTGGTTAGTATCTCACTGCTCACTGACACCCCTAACTCAAGGGTCCAAGCCGAAACCCGTGGAGGGTTTGGGCTCCTGTAACCTAACTCACTTGGTAAGAAGCAATGAAACAAGTGCTTAACACTGGTTTTCTGCGAGGCCGTAGTATCATTTCGGTCGAACCGGCTGAATCGGCCTTAAAACCCGTTGACGGATTACCGTGCGACTTTGGCCTATTTAAGTGCGACTTACTGCCATGTCACGGGGGAGTCCACACGTAAAAAAATAACTAATTAAAACTTTCATGATGCCCAGTATTATCATTTTAAGTAATGTTTCCTTTTTTTTCAGGTATTTTAATCTGCGTACGTGCCATCATCCAGTACCTAAACATCAAACGCGGTTGGCGTCTGCTCTCTGGCACGGCCCAAGAACGACTGCTTTTCTTCTATTAAAAATATCTGTTACCAGCTTTCTACTTCACTCACACCTGTGTAAAGCATGCATGATTGTGCGACAAGGATGAATATAGGATTTTTCCTATAACGGGCAACACTTCTGAGAGTATTTATTCATCCTAAGTCTTGTTTCAATCATGCTTGATGGATGTTAGGGTTTTAGTAGCGTTATATAAGATTCGGTCTGAAAAAGTTACCCATATTATTTATAATGTGATTCTTGTATATATTCATTACGTGACTAGTCACCCTAATGTTTGTTACATCACTTCAAACTAGTCAGTATGTACGATACTGCCTAGTTTGATGTCACGTTACACTATTCAACCTGCATATAAGTCTAATCCTACTTGGTCCTTCGAGTTTTAAAATTAACGATACTCTGATACGTACTTGTTCCCGACCCGTTGCTATTATGTTGATATTTTTATTAGGTATTAGTTATTTTTTAAATTAAGCTTAAGGGTACTACTTCCTTAGGCCGATTCTTAGAGTAGCAATTAATATCGAAATGTTTATGTCTACATGTTAATCACAGTAGGCGCTGTTATTATTATTTGTGCCGTATTTATGCAACCACGTCTGTACAAGATATTTGTACGCATCTGTGAGTTATGTTTCAAAGACATAAACGAATATTTAATTAAATTTATATTAAATGTTAATAAATAAGTGGGCATATTTAAAGGAAAAATTAAAGAGATTGAAATATGGAGTAACTTTTCATCGATGTTTAAATAATAATAGAGTTAATAAAATGTCAACCAGTAGTCTAATACGCTTCATGCTCGCTCGAGGTATTCAAATTCTCACTTTTCAAGGTTTTGTGTGTTATTTTTGCATTGATGTAACTTGTGAATTTGTGAAGTGGACAATTTGACATGGGAAAAGTTGGCATTTAATGTTAAAGACCTAATTTTTTTTTACTGAGTCATAGAAACTATATCATATTCATTAAACAATTTGTAACTCTGTATTTTAGCTAGTTTCTTTTGAGTTGTTGACGTTTGAAACTCCACTAGAGCAGAGACGTTTAAAACACCACTAGAGCAGAGACGATCGAAACGCTCTAGAGCAGAGATATAAACATGCAACTCTATGTACATATGTATGTATGATCAAAATCTATGTATGCGCACTTATTTAGTAATATATTATATTTTAATTTATTATAAGTAGCTCAGCTTTAGACTCATATATAAGTGGATATTTTTATATATGGCAATCGTTCCATCATGAAGTGAATATTAATGCATCAATATGAACTTTACCTTTAGGTAAATTGGTATTTAAGTGCCGTCTGCAGTACCTGATCTGTTCGGTCTTAACTATGGATCTAAGTCGGTCTCACCGTCAAATATGTTAACGAAATCTTCTTCTTTCTTTGTTTTTGTTGAGGATTGTTTGCAAATCTCCAGAATTTAAATTAATCCCTGAAAAAAACACGAAATATTTAAATCATTATCGCGCGCATGATTTAAATTATATAGTGTTATGGGACTTAGCAGTTTTTGTGCAAGAGAACGAAAAAGAAGGAATATTCATTAAAGTAATATACATATCGCATAACGGATGTCAGAAGAGTGGGAGAACTTTGGTACCATTTATTCTCAAACGACGCTCAATAGGCCATGTAATGTGTGTGGCCCTTTATTTAGTAAATCACATACTAACAGATTAACTTAATATCTTAACTGGATATTTACTGAGTATATTTTAGTGTTAAAATATCGAATTATCATTTTTTGAGTTGTGTGGTATCATTCCATTTTTATGTAAAGTGGCGTTATATAAGGCTTAGCTATTAAATTTGTGTCTAAATTACAGCAAATCTTTAATCAAAATGACCATACCAGTTTCTTATTAAACGTCTTTTTAGTAAGAAGTTGATAGAATGACGGCAAATGGTCAATTTGGTCAATGATTAAGCATTTATAGGTTAAGTCTGTGTCATGAAAGCAAGTTATTAGGTTTTGAAATTCACATGTTATATGGTTAATTATACATAAGTTGGCATGGGCTAGCTTTTCCATCAAATTGATCACATAAGGATATACAATATTGTAAAATTTTCTTAATTTTTTATGTGAAAACCTTCGTGTGATCGAGTTCGGCTTTCGAAAATAAAAAAAAGTACCGTAATTGCCACATAAATACGACTAGACTGGTATGTTTTTAATGTAAATTATTCCTTTCAAGCTCCGTCTGCCAGCTTGCGTGTTAACACTATATAGTTCTATATAGTTTTATTTATTTTTTAAGCCCAGTCGCATAATGTTGAGTATATTCAAAATATTTGTATTAGAAATGGTCTTTCGATCCCGAAGCACCAAATGGTACGTGGAATTCAAAAGATCATTCTTTCCAAACACGAACTTTATGACCAGCTATTGGGGTGGAGACCTCGGCTCGCACTTGGTATCTTCTTCAGTAATTATATATCAATATAGCAACTGGGCTAGAAAGACGCCATGACTATGGTGACGTCACTTGTAAACTGGCTACAGAGTTAATGGTAACTTATACGGCCGGTGTAAAACGATGTTAGAACTAGTCTGTATTTAATTTATTTTAAGAGTAAATGTAATGTACCGTTTTTCGGCTTCGTATATTGAACCACGATTACACCTTATCCTAGGAAACATAGTATAAAAAAAAACATTAGGATGATGTCAAATCATTACAACGTTTTTACAATCATCCAGTGTGCCCCCCCCCCCCCCCCTCTCCACAGTATTGACAATTTCAAACACTAAATAAAACGGTTATAAACTGGTAACTCATTTTCTCTTTGTCAATCGTCAAACCGTCTACTCCTGAAGTAACTTGTGCGAAATGACACTGTCATACTTGCTGCTGTCGAGTAATTTCATTTTAATAGTTGATTTAAAAAATAAAAAGTATTAACAAACTTACAAATTTTATTGTTTTTTTTAACCACAGACAACCGTACTGTTCTATGCCAGCGAAGATAAAGCGTACACTTTTATAGTCTGTTTTTTAATCTCGGCGACAGAACTGAGATTACATTGGGTTGCTACTTTCTTGTAATTCTTAAATAGTAGTGTGCTTAATTAGTAATGGGTGTAATTAAATCAATTTTTCGTTTTTTTTTAATATTAAATTGTCCTGAAAAAATGTGTAGGCACAATACGTTGGACGTTAAACTCCTTTAGTATCTATTGGAACTAAATGTTACAGTTAATAAATCAATGAAACCCTATATTACATATATTTCTAACGAAATCAATTCAATATAAAAACAAATATTTTAAAGCTAAAGCTTATAATTTCCGATAAAATACCGAAGTCTTTCTTTAAATCCAAAATTATCGCCAACGAATGACTAGGTCGCTGGGATGGGACACTTCTGTTCGCTTTCATTACTTCGATGTTAATCGCACCGTAGCTCACTGAACTGACTTACCGACGAAGACGTGCCTGTATTCATACTGGTCGAAGAGCGCCAGAAACATTAATTTATCTAGTAATTTATTTTATTTTGACTTAATAGGTACAGTTACAGATAACAGATCATGTCTCACACAATAACAAGTAACAACTTACTATTTCAAATCTTAAGTCCAATTAAACCTTCAGTTTGGTGTTAAACAAATGCAAAAATGAATAATAAAATACAGTAAATTTCTCATAAGTACTTCCTAAGAATATAAATGAGTCGAATAGAATCAAAACCGGTAATTTGCACTTTGCAATATTTGTGGCAATTAAAAGTAAACGTTTTTTTCATGTTGTCTGAAAAATAGCATTAGCTTTTTAAGCGTTAAATAAATTATTTACCTAACAGCACAAGATTTGGTCTTGGTCACCTTGTATTGCTATATTAAGTTTGAATTTAACAAAATGCCGGATTTGATACAAAAAATTAAGACTGCCATATTAGTTACTAATTATGTTTTAAATCATTGTTTTTGATCCCAAAAGGTTAACAAATTGCCATCTTTGAATATAACCAAAATATTGTATATTTCAGGGTTATCAAAAATAAAAAGAAATAAGTTTTGAAACTTCAATTAATAATAAAAGTTAATAAAACAATGTTTAACGTTTGCATGTTTATATATGTAAGTCATTATCATCTTCTTCTCGATGCTTTATTTGCCTTCTTCTTCTCAAGTTATTAAAGAAATCATCGCATCAACAAACTGTCACCAATATTTCTAAATTTGACATTTGCATGTGTCAATTTGTGCTGAAGTGGCAGTGGGCCGGCCATAACAGCCGCAGAACCGACAAACCGTTGGGGAAAACGAGTTCTTGAGTGGAGACCGCGTCTTGGCAAACGTAGTGTAGGACGCCCACAGGCCAGGTGGAGTGACGATTTGCGCAAGAAGCATCTTCGTGGCCTATGTCCAGCAGTGGACTGATATAGGATGATGATGATGATGTTGTGTCAATTTGGTCTCTGAGATTAAAAAACAAACTATAAATCAAAATGGGCGATATAGGAAACCATTAACGGGTACATTACAAATTATATATTTTGTTATATGCTAAGTAATATCATTAATTTAAAAGTGCTTCATATTTTAATGATAATAATCCTCAAAACGTAATGTAAGAAAAAAAGTTGATTTTGTATTCACCTGTATGTATGTATGTAAGTTTGGGAGTTATTCTATTTCGCACTAAAGTCGATGTCAATGGGAGTTTTGTGATTAGATAACTTTATTTTTAATATAATATTTTAGTGCAATAATGTCTAGTTCAGAGTTTCTAGTGAAAATAAATATCTACGTTAAAATTACATATCGTCTTTTCTTTACACCTAATACGAGTACATGTTTTACCTAGCAAAATAACAAGCAAGCATCTCCGGAATTTAATAACAAATAACGATTTCATGTCTGCACGAATCGCATAGTGGTTTAAGCGGTCACTACTGCGCTGAATGTTTTGGGTTCTATACCGACGTGGGCCAACATTTTGTATGATTTACAAATTATTGTTCTGTCTAAGTGGTATTTGTGTATATT